CACCATCCATTTGTTTTCATCACCCAGGTAACGGAGCTGGAGTATACGTGCAGCCAAACAAATGTGATCAAAACTCACAAAACGGAGCTAAACCAGACAATTGAGGAGCTAGAATCCGCACTGAAAACAAAGGAAGAGGTAACGTCTGACTTCTGGTGTAATTTCCCCTAGTAGTTCAGTGGTTCTCAAACTAAATAATTTAGAGGGTTCATGAAATGACTTTTGGTGCTAAACTTAATCGTTAGCAATCCGGCAGCATATGTTATCTATCGCCCAACAAAATTTATCGTGGGGGGCCCACTCAGTAAAATTCATATCCAAAGGGGATTGTGAGACTTGACCAATGGTTTTCGGGAGTCTCCGGACAAGGAACTTGAGAAGCACTGCTTTAGATTATGAAGTGCAAATGAAAAATCTCTTTATCTAGAAGTGACAGCCTGTTGTTTGGAAGGAATAAGCGGCAATTTAGTTTCCCCTACAGTTGTATAACAAATGATGACCACAGTGTATTATTTTTGGTGGAAAGCAAGACTCACATGACTTCCAATTAGTAACAATCTTAACCAAAAGAAAAACATTGATGTCACCACTGGGAGCTCTAATTGGGCAGGAGACATTACTATTGCAATCTCTATTTAATGTCCTTCATGCACAGATTAAGAATGTGCTGATATAGCGAAAGGTTTAAATCCCCCTCAGACTAAGACAGCGGAAGCTTGAAAATGGCTAAAGGCCGATAATATTTAGCAGTGCTACTCACGTCCAATGCATGTAGACTTTCCCAGATAAGCTGTTCTAGAAACTAATTAGCAAGTTATTGAGGAAGTTGGGTCAGTGAATAGACCCACATGATGGTTTACCACATGATGGTTTGACATCGCCTGGACAGGAAGAGGAACAGGCAGAAATCAGGAAGGGATCAATAATAATAATAATAATAATAATAATAAACAAAAAGCCCAGTTTTTAATTTGGGGATGTAACGCTGCAGTTTACATTCTGCCTTTGATCAGCTGTACCTCTCACTGGTCCCAATGCTCCAGCAAAAGAGAAACACCTTTATTTATAATGAACTCAGGGAACAAGGGACAGGTGGAACATATTGCTGACGGATGTAATTGGTAACACTTGTCACCTGACTCCCCCCATACCGAGTCTGAAGGCAGATAGCTGCCCTCCCCCCCTTTCACACCAATTTTACTACAAAATGAACATTCATAATACGGAGATTCACAAGGATTCTGATGACTGCTCAGTTCAGCCAATCCTTATGAAGCATGACAGGAGTCTGACACTACATGCTTAAAATGCTTTGAAATGTTACGATTTGTGAATAGCTAGGCAACAAATTATATCTAGAAAGCACAAACCATATAAGAGGAAAATGAAATAAATAGAAAGCAAATGAAATAAATCAAATTGATGAAATTTAAATACACTGCTATTAAAGAATAAAAATGATTATAGGTAACTTATAAATTGAATTGAAGAGCGAGAATAATGTGATATATCAGGGCTATTCAATCGCACTCCCCAAGGTCCGAACATTGCTGATTTTCCAGCCTTCCTTTACCTGGGAACCAGCTGTGAAGCCTCAGGCCAATAAGAATCAGTATTTATTAAACTAAGTACATGGGAGAACTGAAAATAAGGCCTGGATTTGGAATCGAGGGCTCCATTTGAAGAGCCCTGTGATGTAGCATTAATTTCAAACTTACCTGAATTTGAAATGCTGAAGATGTGATCCAGAAAATTAGAGTAGTGATACATTATTCATCACTATTGGGAAACAGTCATTTCGCCTGGCCCATCTTGCTGTCTGTGAGAGTAAGGTAGGGGGTCACACCCCAGTGCCCCTGGGGTGACTGAGGTAAAGGGCCTCGTTCAAGGGCCCATCAGTGACATCAGCCTGCCGGTCACATGATCTGAATTGGTGACTGTGGGCCACCCCGGTGTACAGCACAGTGGCTGATGAACATGTGTACCTCTGCTGAATAAGTAGGATGCAGGATGGGGGGGGGGGGGATAATGCTCAGCATGTGGCAAAGTGGGCTAAGCCTCTGTGCCTGTGATCAGAAGGTTGCCAGTTTGAGCCCAGCCTTGCCACGTCTGTGAGTTCTTGAGCAAGGCCCTTAACCCCCAGCTCCCTGGGCGCTGCTATGGGTGGCTGCCCTTCATGACCTGCTTACTCTCACCTACAGAGAGCAAGTTGGGGCAGGTGTACAGAGAATTTCCCCATGGAGATCAATGAAGTATGTATTATTATTAATAATAGTATGCAGAAGCTTCGTATTCAGCCAGAGTGTGTAGCAGTCCCTGTGAGTGATCTAGCCTGTGAAAGTTAGATGAAATGTCACTGCATTCATCCGAGGCCCTGCTCAGTGATCGGTCTGTGATGTTCTGTACTGCTGCTGCTGTTCCTGCAGGAGATCGAGGGGCTGAAGGCAGAGGTGGAGAATGCCAGGCAGTTGCAGGCACAGAGGGACTCTCTTGCCCAGAAGCTGCAGGTGAGTGGGCTTACCTCACAAACCACAAGGGCTCACATGGTTGGGATTTCTAGTGAAGGTCCTTTACTTTGAATAAAAAGAGAATGGCTCAGGGATTTTGAAAATCGCTTGCACCTATATGACTTTGCAAAAAGAATTTACACGTCAAACAATGCTCTAAATCAGTGTTTCTCAATCTGGTATTCGAGGACCCACAGCCGGTACACATTTTTGCTCCCTCCGAGCTCCCTGCCAGACAGTCCACATTTTTGCTCCCGGTCCAGGAAACGCGAAAACGTGGACTGTCTGTGGGTCCCCGAGAACCATATTGGGAAACACTGGTCTAAATAACCAACCCCAATGTGGACTGTGTACGTGATCTCAGAAAAAATACTGTGTCTACATTGTTTTTACTATTGAGGGAACTTAATGTCCGCTTTCCAGGAGACGGAGACGCGGAGCAGAGACCTGGCGGGGCAGCTGGCTGACCTGGAGCAGAGACTGGAGAGCAACCAGCTGGGCCAAGAGGCCTTCCTGAGGAACCTGAGGACCCTGCTGGAGCTCCTGGATGGGAAGATCTTTGAGCTGACAGAGCTACGGGACAACCTGGCCAAGCTGGTGGAGGGCAGCTAGAGGAACTCTCACACCTACAGCCTGATCCGTGCCTCAGGAACACACATCCAGAGCAGAGCAGTGACTGTGGCACCAACGAGATACTTTCCGTGGGATTGGGGGGGGGGCAGGGACGTTGGTGAGGTCAGGTTTCCCATCTGAGGACTGGAATTATCACATGGGTGTTCTGTTCAATATGACATTGTTCTATTATAGCGTACCCAATAATCCAACATGGCTGAGTTATCTACTCATCCAGAGAGTGGAAAATTATGTTCACACTTCTTGGTTTTAATTCTCTGTGGCCAGACCTGGTCAAATGTGAGCGTTTATGGATGCAGTATACTATCCCTAATAATAGTAGTAATGATCATTGTCCTATTAAATGAAATTTAGTTGTATATTTTATATAAATAAAGTATAGATTGTGGAGCCAGTTTTTCTCCCAGCTGTACAGATGGCATTGCCTTTAAATTGCATTGATTGCAGTATTTCTTTATTGAGTTGCTGTTTGCCATTTCTTGTTATATACTCAAACTTCTGTTCAGACTTCCTTATAGTTTGTGTTTCCACGCAGAATGCATGGGTGGGGCAGTGGTAGTGTCTCCTTGGGGTGGTGCCTGTCCAGGGTCTCCCCACGTGCCCCATCTTTCATGTAGGAGGGGGATTCAGGGCTTTGCAGATTGTCCCGTTGGGAGGAGGATGGTGAGATTCCACACGGATCCACAAAGGGTGCGATGTGGTGCGGGACAGGCGAGGGGGTGGGACAGACACCCGTGCCCAGTGTGCTTCTGAGCTCCATGTGTGGGTGCACTAACTGGGAAGTGTGGTGTGTCATAGATCCAGCCTGGTTATCTGCTGCATACATTAATCTTGCTGTACAGACACATACACATAATATTATACATGTGATGTGTACGTAATTTAAAACTTTTGAAATATCCTTAATTTTCTGTTGAATTGTGTTTATTATTACTGCCATAATTCCCTGGTTTGTTAAATTTCTTTAAAGTGCTAAGGCATTATTTATGCCGTACGAACTGCAAATTATGTCAGAACCTGTGTTTATGATTACTTCCATAATTATTACTATTGAAGGGTGTTCTCTATTTTTGTTTTTCATATTTTCTAACACATGGATGTTGGGTATTATAGTTGTGTATATATGGGCCCTGGACACTTAATGTTTTATACAAGACGACATTAAACGAGCCGCAGAAATCAAACTTCCATAGTGATTTTATACAAAGAGTTAGTAAGAAATGAAAAAACCATACATGATTTATCAGTTTTTTTCCATGTGTTGGATTTATGGTGATTGCCTTCAGTACCAAGGTGGCATTGGCATTTATGGTCATGAAAACAAGGTCTGGAATTGGTTCACACTAGTTTATGGCACCAGGTAATGTTGCAAATTTAGCATACTTATTTGAATTGCTTCTGAATTACCTGCCATTAGAAAGCCACTTGTTCTATCATGTGTTATCATAACACACATTTTGAGTTGCTGATACTGTGACATCGCCGGATTTTACCTGCATGGATCATAAATCACGCTTTGGCTTCTATCTGGTTGCCCCTCTTCTAGACCAGTGGTTCCTAATCCACGCCATGTATTTTTATTGATTTAACCATTCAACTGTAACAAAACTATAATGAGCTATAACATTTAAAGTGGCTGAAGTGGAGGTTTGGAAACCATTGTTTTACAGAACCAAAGTCTTGATGCCATTTTCACGACCAAACATGCAGAATCTTGCTGCTCTTTGATGTTCATAACCACTCATTACAGATTACTGAGGCTGTGAAAATAATGCACATCACAGGGCGCATCGAAATATAGCACTACTGGATCATACATAGGGATGTATATTGCAACGGGAAAAAATAAGGACAAGGCAATTTCAAGGTTACATATTAATGAGTTTTATTTGCTTTGGGGAGTAAAATCAGATTTGGCAGAAAGCAACAGGGCAAAAATCAGAAAAAACAGAAAGCAAAAATCAGAAGCACATTTCTACCATAGGAATGCAGGATGAAATAATAATAATAATAATAATAATTGTTAAAGCAATTATTTTACATTGAAGGTGTATTGCTGGAAACACCTTTTCCCTGCTTATTTTCAATAAATACTTAATCTTGTCCTTTTACTAACTTGTGCAAATGCATGAGAGTTTTGTTGCTACGTTTTTTCCAAATGCATTAAATACATACAGTATATATATATATTTTTGCAGTTTTAATATATTGCAGACCTAGTGACTGGTTAAGTCCATTCATGGAACAGATATTTGAGGAAATAAAGAGGATTTTCTAGAAATGACAAGGATTCAATGCTCAAGAGACAATTTGATTTATGGAAGAACTGAATAACAGAAATATTTAGTATTTACAAACATGAGGAAATCAGAGAAAACACCAGCCAAAATCTAACACAGTAAATAGGTGTATATATGACACATAGTGATAGATCAACTGATAATAGATTGAGAGCGAGGGTGCAGTGTGGGTTTAAGCTATGTCAGCACTGGGAATATTCAAATGCCTTTTAATACTATTAACAGAAGGATGTTGCAATTCTGAGGAAAAGACTCTGAACATTGACTCACTGCTCTCTGCACCATTGGCCTGTAACACAAAGTAGGATTTCATGCTTAGCTGGATAACTTCTTGGATTTAAGGTAGTCTGAGCTAAATGTAAGTGAACAAAGGTAAAGGCCATTTAAGCCGGGGTACTTTTAAGTTATCCGGCTAAGCAACAAATCTGGCTTTGTGATACAGAGCCCAAGTAGAATGCAAAGGTACTGCAGTAATTTTTATACCACTGATTTTATCCCCATAAAATTTCATTTTCAATGGTGTTATATTCATAAATTATATACAAACGTGCATAAAACGTGTTTATGTAAAGGTGATATCTGCTGAAATGAAAGCTCTCATAAAGAAAGCAAAAAAAAAAAATTTGCTGAGCGTGGAGGAGGTATATTTGTAAATACGGCATCAATTAATTCAGCAAAGGCAATATAGTCACCAGACATCATTCATTTAATTTCAATATGGTGAAAAAGACAACTGAATTTCTAACGGTGAAAAGATCCATCCATTTTATGTAACCACTCATCCTATTCATGGGCATTGGAGTCCAGAGCTTATCCTGAAAAGACAGGGAATAACCCAGGACAGAGCAACACATTCACACAATTTGGAAACTCCAGTTCACCTTAGACTGTGGGGGGAAACCCCACAACAACACAGTGAAGATGTGCAAACTGCACAAACGGAACCAGGACAGAAACAGCGCTAACCACTGCGCCACCGTACCATACATGTGGAAAGATGTCAAATTTTATTAAGAATTAAAATTATTGTTACATTATTCATTAGTTAAATAAACAAACAATGACATTTTTTTTCTAAATTGCACAAAACTCTTACAGGTGCTTTGGTGATAATAAAATCTCCCCTTATATTAATTTAATTAAACTTTGAGATATTTACTAAGGGCTTAAGAGAAACAGAAACACAAAAATATATACATAATATACACCATAAAACAGACTTCTGCTAACTGCATTTAGGATTCAACTGTGCGAGTCGTTCACTGAGCCACACAGCCACACGTAGGTAGCTAATTAGCTAATGTTGTTGTCTGCTACTCGATTCTGGCTGCACAAAAGAAAAAAAGGACCACAGGCAGAAACTTTTATATTTGAATCGTACTGTACATGAGCTTAAACCCACTATCTAGATAAAGTCCACAGGGTAACCATTTCTGTAGACTTTGCGGATTGTCACAAGCACGAGGGAGTGACAAAGAACTTATGTTGTCAAAATATATTTATATATAACCTGCAAAACAGTTATTATAAACAGGATATAAATCTCGACCTGAAGCAAAAAATCGAATCAACATAACATTGGTACAATGAAAAAAATAAACAACCTGGATTAGGAATATTTTTATGTCAATCCATCCAAGGATGGAGGCAATGCATGTGTTGAAGGATTATTCTGTGTGGCCGAATGAGGGTGGAGCAGGACCTGGAGATGGCTCTCAGATGGGGGCCCTGCTTCCTCGCTGGCGGGATCATCTATGGTGCAGACATACAAAGAGAGGGAATCATGAAGACTTTTCACTCGTCACAGCAACTGATCCCAAATCAGCTGGTAAAACCCTGTGGGCCGCAAGACTTTGCATACATCTCTGAAAAACGTTATTAGTTTCTAAAGGTTTGTTTGGCGCATGCCTGTCAGTTCCTTCCCCGCTCTAACCTACAGCTTCCCTTGGACCGATTCAGTTAGGCCTCTCAGGCACAGCAGGGCTGCCAGACGAAGTTGAGGACAAGAAGCACCTGAACCTTAGACAGGCTAGCAAGAACAGAAATTAAACTTACAGAGCACCACTCACAGACAAAATAAAGTGGGACTGAAAAAAAGGCTCCAGCTGTTTAAGAATTTAATCCATACTCTGAATGCCATCCAGTAAAAAAACATTACGAGACTTCCTGTGTTACGATGGGATTACATTCCGATAAATCTATCGTAAGGCGAAAATGCATTTTAATACAGTACACCTAACGTCAAAGCCTAGCTTAGCTTACCTTAAACATGTTTAGAACACTTACATTACAAACAGCAACAAACATTTTTTTTTGTATAGCGCGTTATCACAACATTACATCGTCTCAAAGAGCTTTACAGCATCCCCACCCAAAGCCCCCAGTGAGTAAGCCATAGGCGACAGTGGCAAGGAAAAACTCCCTAGAAGGAAGAAACCTTGGGAGGGACCAGACTCAAAGGGGGAGCCCATCCTCCAGGGGCCGGCAGGGAGAGTTAAATCGGAGAGATGGCTAAGTGCCATAAAGTCACACTGTCTAAGTCATAAGATTTGAGGCACATCCAGGGAGCAGGGAGGTGATGACAAGCCGGTGCCGACGCTCCTTACGATCGCCGGGCAACCAGTAGTAAGGCAGCGGGACATACAGTACCCTACAGTTGGGCAACATCATTAACACAAAGCCTATTTTATAATAAAGTGTTGAATTTATTGAATATTGTACCGGAAGTGAAAAACAGAATGGAGTTGGAATACCCATCGTAAAGTTGAAATATCATAACAAAGACCATCGTAACCCAGGGAGCGTCTGCATGTGAAACACCTTGAGCTACACTAACTGGGACACTGGTCTCACTGGAATCCTGAAGCCGTAACTCCCCACATCCCCTTCTCAGCCTGTGGGATATTATTAGCAGGCATGGCGTTAATTAATGCTGCTGTGGCGGTGAGATCTGACTCCATGCATCCGCCAAAGCGGGGTGAACGTACAGGAGCCGTGTAACAGCCATGTAAAGGACAGTGGGGATTGGACAGCGCAGCACTGCCTACTGCTGAGCTCTGATAAGACAGAAATAACGTTGGACGGCCTTGACTTAATGACTCTCAGGCTCCACCAGACGTCCGGACGGCGCCTGCGTCACTCAGGCTGGCTCTCATGATCAGCAAGAACTTCTAAATTGAGTCTCACATTATAAATATATAGAAAGTTTCCTTTTCTCTGAATGATATGCCAAGGTCAGAAAAATTCCATCTATGAATAATGCAGAAAAGCACTTGTTACCTGTATCCGGCTGCACAAACACTTCTGTAAAATTCCTAACATTGCTCTAACACAAACTAAAATATCTTATTATCAGTCTTCTGTTTGTCTCCATGCCCTGATCACCTGCCAGATTTACAGTAGAATATAAAATTATGATTCTCACCTTTATAGCCAGATATACTCAGTTAGTCAAATCATGAGAAAAATTAAACTAGTTTTACATAATATGTTTCTACTTATATACAGGACTGGTGTGCACAGTGGTTCAGAGGGTAGCAGTGTGGTATCACACTTCCAAGGTTCTGTCCTAATGCTGTTTGTGTGCCCTATGACTGGCTCCCCTCTACTGTGATCAGTCGCCTTGTGCCCTATGCTGCCTGAGGCAGACCTAAGCTGACCATGACCCTGTAATGGATATCGCTATGTAAGCATGCCATCAGATCTAAAACAATATTTAGCTAACAGACAGGCCATTGATGAGGTCTAGGACCCATGTATGTGCTAGGGATCGTAGGTGAAGTCTATCTCATGGTAGTAGACGCTTTGTGGGATTGTTTCACTCCTGAAAGTAGGCACTAGGTGTCATGGATAAAGTCGAACCCCTGAGGGTGGAGGATGCAGACCTAACTGTCCCAGTCAGCACAGGGGAGCCCCTCGTCCTCGGACTCGGACTCGGGGGAAGCTTCCTTGATGCGACACATGGCCTCCTGGATGCTTCGGAGCAGCGGGTCGGCCTCGTCCGGCCGCGGGACCCTCCTGAGCCTCACGCCTTTGCGGATCTGAGCCAGAATGCTGCTGGTGTCGTCGTCCTCGCTGGGTTCGGGCCGCGGGGGCCGGAGCTCCACCCGGCGCAGGCGGAAGCTGCCGCGCTTCAGCGAGGCCAGGACCTCGTCCATCGGGGAGCTAGCTGTCAGGAGATCCACGGCATAGTGCCTCAGATACAATCATCTATGAATGGTGACAAGTATTACATCACGTGTGTAAGGAAAATGCAGGATCACATGCACTGGAGGCCAGGATCATCATATCAACATAATATGAAACTACTACGCAACGATGACATGAGAAATAAACTCATAAAGAGCTTTTTCTTCAGAAAGAGCATTTCACTCTGTTAAGGTAGCAAAACGTTCTAGACTTCAAGGTTTTATAATCAATATCTGAATAAATCTGAAATGCATCTCACTGGCTGAAATATGTCTTCAAGGAATCCCTAAATGTGAAAGTGTTGAAGGTGCCTCGCTGACGGCAGCGTGCCGGGACTCACCTCGCCTCCCCAGGGACGTGTCCGGGACCGGTGTCTTCCTCAGCCGCTTCCGGGCGTCGATCAGCTGACTGCTGTCGAAGAAGCAGCAAGAGGTGGAGGAGGAAGCGTCCAGAGGCCTGGGGACTCCCGGCTCGCTCCCAGGATCGCCGTCCTGCTGGACGAGGCTGGCGGGGTCCCCCTTACCCTCGCCGGGCTCTTCCCCCGCCAAAGGGGGCGGAGGAGGAGGGGGGGCTGAGGGAGGGAGCGGGGAGAGAGACACGGGCGGGCCACCATTTGAGGTCAAGGGAGGGGCCGTGGTTTGATAGTGAAGCATGGCCCCGCATAGCGGAGGTGCTGTGGGGCATTGGGGCGGCGCCGGCAGCACAGAGCTCAGGGACATGCCTTCCGTCTCCGTCTGCACGCTGACTTCCAGGGTCTGCTGGGGCTGCTCCAGGCTCCCGGGCCGACTCAGGCCACTGAGCCTCCTCTTCGGGGAGCAGGCCAGCCGCAGTCGCCTCGACTTCAGGGTGACCTGACCTGGGTAGCGCTACAGAGGAGAATAAATCATCTGACTAACAGAAAAACAGTAAGAAACACTTACATAAACTATAATTTGAAATACATTTTTTGTTCCTCTCATTTGTTTTAAGTACTCTATGAATACAAAAATATAACATTTTGAGGCGCTTTTCATACATACTGCTGGCTATTTACCTTCAACATCTTTATCGCACTTTATCGCAGCCCCTCCTGGTGGCTGAGACGCTTATTACACCTCTGCTTGCTTGAGCACTATGATGCATACAGCTTTGGGCCCAATTACTACAGCAAGCTGGAAGTTGGACGGCAGCACACCAGAACTGGGAGGCCATCTTAGCGCTGCGATGCAGATGGTCACCGGCATGAGCACTGCTCTGGTACCTGCTTGAATCTGCGGAGCCCTTCCAGCGTTTTCTGCCTCTCCTGGCTGACCCTGGTGCTCTGGCTCTCCTCATCCATCCGCTGCTGCTCCACGTGCTGTGAGAACCCCAGAGGAGCTCAAAGACGTGCCCGGCATGTCGGGTCTTTCCACAGACCGTGACGCCTCCTGGCAAACTGTGACTTGGCCCTCAGTGCATCACAACTTCACACACAATGTTTACTGGTGACCTACATCTGTCATGGTGCACAACGCACCCACTTCCAAAAGAACTGCCTCAGAATCAGTTACTACACTAGTGGCCAAAACTGTGGAAACACCTCCAATTTTTAGAGACCGCAGAACTTTATTACAGTTACTCCGTTACGTATTTAATTGTATTTAATATCTGCGAACATTCCTTGTTTACAAACATTACCACCAATATCGTGTAGTAATTTTTAACGCACAATGCCAAAAATGCTAGGTATTTCCACAATTTTGGTCACTAGTGTAAGTACACGTAACAAATAACGAAAATTTCATTCATAAGTCGTCACTGAATAGAGGGAAATGCAAGGTGAAAATAGTGCAACAGATTGCAATTTTTGTAAGATTTACCATTCATGTATTATAGATTTGTTCATAATGCTGTTCATATAATTTAATAATGTGGCAGTTTTACTCGCTGCACCATTAACCCTAAACAGGCATCAGAGCGCCTCAGGTGCACTTTATCCCAAACTTCTGAGCCCCTGCTCTCCAGAGCTGACAGCTGTCCCGATGCAAAGCAAATCGCACGACGCGAACGGTGGTGACAGACCGTCGCAGGCCCGCGCGGAAAGATCAAAGAGTGGCAAGGCTACGGGATAATCGGGCTTTTCACGCCACGTGCTTATCGGGGTGGGACAGCCGCTCGCAATCCCGGGCGGCACTGAGGATTCCCGTCTGGGCCCCCTCCCCCCCCTCGCCGACAGCAAACCGCCTCAAAGTCTTTGTGCTGGTTGAAGAGTTTTGAGACACTGCTGTAGATATGAACAGCGTCTTCATCATGTCAAGGGGCAGAAACATGGATGTGAAGAAGGTTGCATCATCCAATCATCCATCTATCTAGCATGATCAGAGACATGGGGCTGCGGTTGCTTTATAGGTTTTTTTTCCTTCCCTAGAGGTGAAAATGCATTGGAGGCGACCGTACCTGCTGCAAGGTCTGACTGGACATGTGGTCCTCTTGGCTGCCCTGCCGCTGCTGCATCTTCTGCTTGTGATTAGCGACGCAGATCTCCTAGTGATCAGACGGGAAATCAGGACGGAATAATAAACAGGCACCACATTAGCCACCTAAATCCCCCATATCAACTTAGCATTGTCCCTAATTAGTCCGACATCAGCATTCAACATATAGCAGGTCTCAGAAAATCCAAAGTAACTAAAACATTTCATTTGGTTTGCAAAATACATAGAAAGACTAGAAGAAATTTATGCAATAAAACAGACAAAATAACATTGGGCATAACTGACAGGTAATGTATATAAAGAACACTTAACAGAAGGAGTCTCATTTGTCAAAAAAATCAGTCTCACCCTCTTGTTCTTCAGGTAGGCCTTCTTGGCAGTAATGCGCCCCCTTCTGGCCTCCAACTGCCTTACACGCTGCTGCAGCTTGAGCAGCTCCTCTCGCTGGAGCAGTGAGTCGTCAGTGCCCTGCATGGCCTCCGTGCTCTCGAAGGTGTCATAGTAGACTACCTCCTCCTGCAGATCTGCCCCGAGGAGACACAGCCCTGCTTATTACCATCCCCATTAGTGATGGCATCCTACCAGCATGTTCTGTGACAAGCCAGGTGCCAGGCGGGGCCAAATCAAAATGTTAAGCACATCTTGAGGTTATGTAAGTACTGTATTATTTTGTGAACAAGGAATGAGATGGAATGCTGTGACAGATGACCTGGCCCCCACAACCCCCCCCCCCCCCCACCTACACTGCCCAGAGCTTAGTTTCATAAAAGGGTAAGAAAAAAGTAGCCCACTTGTTCCCAGAACTTGTGGAGACTCCGTCAGGACTGTTAACATAAGAACATAAGAAATTTACAAACAAGAAGCATTGCAGGTGGCTACAAATGGAAGCTGGTTTAAAGAAAACCAAGATCCTGCAATGCTGTCATCAAAGCAAAAGGGTGCTACTTGGAAGAGACTAAAACTTGAGAACATTTTGAAATGTTGAACATTTCTCTTCCTTGTCGCAATACTTGACATGTATTACTTCACTGTCTCAAGACCACTGACTACAAGGTGAATTACACGGCTAAAAGGGAGACAAATGCAATAAAAACTGACTGGTACTCTAACTAAATTACTGTAAATAAGATTGAAGGAAGCTAATATTTTCAAGACGGAGTTTTTGTACTCTTACACCCAAATAACCACACCTGCCTGTCCTATGGTCTCAACCTTCGGGGACCAGGCCGGTCTGAGGTGCCGCATGGGGTTTGCAGAAGGAGGCTGAGCTGCAGAACCAGAGAAGTCAGGACAGGAGGGTGTGGGATCCCTCTCACCAGAGAGGAGCTGGAACCCACCAGTTATCTGCCTCTGGAGGCTCTCACGCTGTGTGGTCAAGAGCAGCTCCTCACACTTGAGCACCTCAAACTGGATCTCGTAAAGGTGCAGCTGGAGCTCGTAATACTGGGCCTCCAGCTGGTCCAGGCGATGCACGGCATCCTCGCCACCCTGCAGAGCCTGCATCTAAATCATTAACCACAAATAAGGTAGGGATACAGGCGAAAATAAGTGCAAGGCAGAAATATGACCACTAGAGGGCAGTAAAAGGACAGTGTTCCCAAAAGCACATACAGTTCAGAAGATTTTATCTTCAGATATTTTTCTCTACTTTACGCACTACTTTCAAAGAGCTACAGCTAGAGAGATTTGCAAATGTTTGAGAAGAAATCAGCATCCCAGCAGAACAAAGATGTCGACCCTTCAGATGAGCAGGTGCTTTGGAGATACCTGCTCTCTCAGAGTCTGCTTCTTCTGCTCCAAGCATATCTCCCTGGCCCTCATCAGCTGCAGCGTCTCCTTGGAGACGGCACACTGCAGCCTCTCCATGCGCTCCACGGCTGCCGCCCACGCCGCCTTGCCGAACTTCCTCTGATCGGCACGCATGCGCTCGAATACCGCTGCAGAGTGGGGGGGTGGGATGGAGATGAGGATGAGGATGATACTGTGAGGATGAGGACGAGGATGAGGATGATACTGTGAGGATGAGTATGCTAACAGATCTAAAAATGCTAAAAGTGCTGCTTGTGGAGCGTGTGCCGTGCACATATTGGCTGCGGGGTCGGGGTGGGATGGGAGGGGGGGGGGGGGGGGGCACTCAGATGAGTCCCTTTCTGCCACGTAAACATGGTGATCTTTGTCTGGACACAACGCGCAGCAAAGACCTGTGACCAGGACTACTGTGACCAGGACTACTGTGACCAGGACTACTGTGACCAGGACTACTGTGACACGACGCTGACAAGATAAACAAGCATTTTAAAAGAGGCACATGCCAAGATTCAGCCAGCACTTGAAAATCTAGGCAAGAATGATGAAAAATGCCATTTAACATTGGATGCTAGAGCCCCCTGCTGGACCTACGACAGAATAATTTCAGTTTCAGTAACTTTACAAGGCAGTATATAAATTTACATGCTGCTGTGTCTAATCACCACATGGTGTTAATGACTATAAATAATAATAATCAGCTAAATATCAGGCATATTGGCAGCTAATGGCTTGGTGGCTGAAGTCCCACCTCTGCCTCTGGACACGCTATTTAAAACCAGGATTGCTAAGAATTGCTCCAAATATGAGGATTTATAAAGGGGGTAAAAACGAAGCCACTGAGGATGTAGCCCCATAAAAATGACTAAATGCAAACACACAGATGGCTGCTCCGATCTCTCATGCTTCATTGTAGTAGCAGCCAAGGCAGTTTACTGCAAGGCCCCTGCACAGCCATACTGAGCAGCCCAAAATGACACCTGCACGTACCCTGCAGGGAGCAGAGCACCGGCAACACAGCCCCAACGCTATTTCAAACTTAATGGCCCGATTGTGCCCATTTTTCAGGGGAGAAGCATTACTCCCCGACGTCCTTGGGGAGATTTCCCATTAAGCACCCTTTGTGGTGAGCCCCCCCTTCCATTCACTGTGACCTGCGGGCTTAACTGATTTCAACCACAAGTTAAACTGCAGTACCTCAGTATTTATGCATGATACCGCCACCAGCCAAAGGTAAAGCAGAAATGAAATGATTGAAACTGGAAGGCTGCTTTTAAAATGCTGCAAAGCTCCTGCCAAAGCCACCCACTAATGGTGACCATAATTTTGATGGGAGCAGCTTTGAGGGTTGCAAATCCCTCCCACAGAGACAGCGAACCCAGAGCACGTGTAGATACAGTACTGAGTAGAGGTCAGGCAGCTATAGGTGAGGCAGAGCGCAGTTACCTTTCTGTGCCTTGGCAGTGATCTCAAAGTACTTGACGGTGAAGTCCTGAATGGACAGGACAGCCTGGTGGGCCTTGCTCTGCCAGTCCAGGTCCTCCTTCTTCAGGCTCTCAATCCTGCGGGGGCCCAGATAGTCATTCTCTATGGAGATCTGAGGGACGGACAGTAGACACAGGGTAGGGTTAACTACTGAACCAGACAAACATTCCTCTCTGTATAATGTTCCATAATCAATTGAATTACTGAATTGGACAGAAATACTAACCAGACTGATATACTCTTCCTTGGATTATAAGCACTAAACTACTAACAGCTGTACCAATCTACTAGGGACTATTAAACACAATTCATTTTGTAAATGACTGAAATTGAAGCCAGGAGAAATTATCTACTGCTTTCAAATATATTTTCCAATGGTGCTACAAAGTGTGTTACAGGAATCTGCAGGTGAGCTGTTGGTGAGCTGGTTAGTGGTGCATCAGTGTTACCCAAATGCTCACAGGTGTAAAGCAGCTGTGGAAGACCAAGCCTTTTGAATATAAGTGCATTACAATCTGGAGGGAGTTCGGGACTTGGTGTTAGATCAAATTGCATAGGAATGTACTCACTAAAGCTTGGAGGGTCAGACTTAGGGCTATGCAGACATGGGCATGTAACCAACATTTGAATCTTCCCCTAGTTCTCCCATTACACCTGATCCAGAAATCCAGTATCCAAGCCACACTTCTGCGTTTCTTATGGAGAGTGACTGAAGCTCAAAAATGGTACTACATCCAAAAAAAAACAACCAGGGCAGAAAAGGGGAGCCACACTCAAGGTATCATCATGATGTAAAGCGTCCTCCAGGCGGAATGTCATGTGACACAATGATGGGAAAAGAAAGAGGGATTTTTTTTTTTGATGGGATTGGGGAAGGGTCCCACAATCCTGATCAGGATACGTAATTAGAAGATCAATGGATGGATGGATGGATGGATGGATGGATGGAGTGTACAAAAATGCAACAAAAGCAATTTGGATTGGTTAGGCAGCAAGGTCTGGGCATGTTCTCTTATATGTGGGATAAGGAAAGAAAAGGTCTGGGGAATATTGCAAACTTTACTGAAAGATACTTGGTTCCCCGTCCTGGGATAGACTAACAGACAAGGCCGATTGCATATCCTCCGCTGTCCCCTTATACAAAATAGGTTGGTACTGGAAATCCGTCAAAAGGTCCTTATTCCGCTATTGATTCATAGCAGGACCTAATTCGAGGATTTCATTGCCATCTGAAGTATGACAAAGCATGTGAACCTTTTCAGCCCGGATCCATACCAGGACTGATCCACAGCAGCAGGAACACGACAGAAAAAGAGGCACTGTGTGTCTTAGCAAAATCCTAAGCTATACATTTGTTCACCTCTGTATGTGCATCTGTGTTTATTTCTGTCTCTCCATAAACTTGCTCTATGTTCGAGCATATTTCTCTATCGCCATGTAAACCCACTCTTTATGTGCACTTTTGTGTACTTCTGTCTCCTCATAAATCTGCTCAATACGTCTGTTTCAGATGTCAGTAATTCTCTCTCCATACAAATCCATTCTATATGTCAGTGTTCATTTCTGTGGATCTCCATGCAGATTCACTCTGCGTCTGTCTGTGTTTATATCTGTCAGCATGCAAACAAGCTCTATATGTTTCTCTGTATTTATGTATCTCCATCCAAACCTGCTCTATACGTCTGTTTCTGCGTGCTTTTCTACCTACATGTCTGTTTCTCTGCATTTCTGTATCCCCATGCAAACTCACTCTATATGTCTGTATCTCTGTATTTCTGTATCCCTATTCAAACTCACTCTATATGGCAGTATCCCCATGCAAACTCACTCTATATGTGTTTCTCTGTATTTCTGTATCCTCATGCAAACTCACTCTATATGTGTTTCTCTGCATTTCTGTATCCCCATTCAAACTCACTCTATATGTCTGTATCTCTGTATTTCTGTATCCCCATTCAAACTCACTCTATATGTCTGTATCTCTGTATTTCTGCGTCTCCATGCAAACTCACTTTATATTGTGCATTCATCGCTATTCCCCTCACCTTGATCTGCTGTCTCCGTAGCATGGCTAGCTCGCGCATGTCTCTGAAGGGCTGTAGGAGGAACTGGTAGAGCAGTGTGGTGGCTTCTACTAGAGCAAAGTAGGCCTCATCCTCAGCCTGGTAGATCTCCAGCAGCTCCACCATGCTCTCTGTGCTCCTGTGTCTGTCCAGGAGCTGGGGTGAGGGGGAGGGGTGGAGATAAAGGATTAAGGTAGAGAGAAACATGCTAAAATACCATCAAGGTGACGGCAGGGATGAGAAAAAGGGCTCTAACCTTAAAAAGTTATTGCCTGCTACAGTAACATAATAATAAAGAAATTAAAGCGAGAGTAACGGTCATTTAAAGATACAAAAAGAATGAAACAATCATTTATCAAGCAAGATTAAAAATATCCCAAAAGAAACACCTTCCTGTCCCTCCTTTTGACCCTAATTTTATCTTTAATTAGTGGATATATTTAGAATTTTCCAGTTAAAATAAAAACGTACATGTTTCTTTAAACACTAGCCAGGACTGTTGTTGAAATTCAAAACCAGCAAAATCGACCGACCCGAGTCACATTTGAAAAAAAAAAGCTGATAAGGCAACGAGAATCTTTCCCTCCCCCATTAGGAAGTGCGCGTAGTTAAGTTTTCAGGCAGGCTGGATTAGATGCCCACGTGACGCCCCCGCCCCCCCAACACTCAAGCAGAGACACAGCGACGGTTCCTGCTGCAGCAATAACCACTCAGCACTGCAAACCCAGAGTCATCAGTATGTGAAGCACTCGAGTTTCCGCACGGATCACATAGCATCCAGTGACAGTCGGTCTGGGGCAGAATGAGCCCACATACCAAAAAATACAAAACTAATTTTCTGTAATGGACCTGCAGGGGTGGTTCTTGCGGGTGGGGTTAAATATGCTACTTGGGTTTGAAATACATGTATTGTTATTATTACTATTATTATTTACATTTATATATGTGGGCTACAATTTTGTGCACTAGGAACAGGCGAAACGCAAACGTAGACACACTGACGGACTGTTAACGTGGTGCACCGGCTGGTGGACTTGGTGAAAAGCAAAGTTACTGACAGAAAAAAATAATCAAGCTTATGGATGCAAGACAGTCTAAACAAGAAATCAGAGTGAGTTACATATTTGTAAAACTGTTAAATGAGACTGCAAAGCATTGCATAAATAAATTATCGGTTTTTAAAATCTTTTTTTGTCTTTTGCTTTTTTCCCCAGTCTGCGCCCCCCAAGTTGAAATAGTCGAGAACTGCCACTGACCCACACTCAAAAGCTCAGAGGGCATGTGGATCCTTTCCAAAAAAGAAAAGGATTTCAAGAGAGCCTCTTAATACAAAACAGGCTGTATCAGGGACTGTATAGCAGCCAACACCCACGTCTAGGCAGCTATTTTCATTTTGATACAGCTGACTGTGGACGGAAAAATCGGCGCCGATGTCAAGCCCATACTGAGTGATTCGGACCGGAGTACATCCAGTGGCACAAGCAAAACCCGCAGCGGAACCAAGTACGGCATCCGCTTCAAAGTCTGCAGGTCTGGAAAGCGAGAGGGCAGATGGTACAATGATAGCTTAGAGCGGCTGGCATTCCGGGACAGCCCTATGCCAGCGGGCAGCGCTAGCAGGGGGATCTCACAAAGGAACGGCGACTCGCCTCCCCTCCTGCTGCAGGACACAGTTTGGCATACGCCCGTGACACGTAGTAGTAACTGAGACACATTCAGGTGTAGTAATTACACAGGGTCTTGGGATGTCAGGCCCTGTGCCACGTCCTGACAGCACCACACTCAAATCTCTGTGCAACCAAGACCCTGATGAAGAGGTGAATCGCTTGCGAATGTATACAGAAAAACAACACAAGATGAACCTAATGAGAATCATTACAGGTCTTATACGTTTTTATTTTAATATTTTTTTTTTCCATATTTACGAAGCGGAGAGCTTCCTTCAGTTTTCTGAGGTGCACTTTCTGCAAGATAAAACATCAATTTTAATGCCCTGTTTCAAACCAGTACACTCCATCAGCAGGTAGCCAGAAGCTGTTGAACTGAACTTATTGCTTTTGCTCTGTCGTTGATGACTGGGCCATCCTCATACCACAACACGCTGCCAAATAAAAACCCTGGAAACCTGGTAAATGACATGTCCCAGATTCCAGCTGAGGACCAACCAAACATGGCAGCTTCCTTCATGCCCGCCCACGACTGTGATCATATTTACCATCCAGCACCAAAAAGGAGTTCAGATATTGTCAGTCGGTTCACATGGGAGAGGATCCACTTGGAAAACGGAAACGCGAAGATAATGCAGTGCTTCTGTTCTGCCAGGGGATACAGGAAAAAAACCACCTGAAATCCTACCAAAGGGATTTTAAGCTCCTCGGCATATGTGACAAAGACAGTAACCTAATATTGAAAATAATCAGGAAGCTTCATTCCTGTCAGCACCAGAACGATGTGATTTATGCGTCGTGGACCTTAACCCAACCAGTAAAGGAAACTGGAAACCAAATGCTCTTCTTACACGCTTCGATACAAAAGGGGACTGGGAAAGATTATCTCTCGGACAGGGTTTCTGGTGCATAACCAGTTCTCCATGGACCCCCAGGGCTTATGAAAACAACATCTACAATATACATTGAGTGAAATGTATACTGGGTGAATACAGAATGTAACATACACGACCCCAAGGTCTGACACCGGAACCAAAAGCAGCTCTGTTCCAAATTCACACTGAAAAACAGCTCCCAGTTTAAGCTCTTTCCTTACTACTGTGCCACCATATTTCACATCATCTCCTTGTAATTCCTATAATAAATAAAAAAGCTGTTGGTGACGAAGGCTTCAGTTAAAGAGCTCCACTCAATATGAGGTTCCCCTTATGTCAGTGCCTTAACGGCCACAGCTTGTGCCAGTCTGCTCTATGCCTGCTCTTCATAGTGTGTCTTTACGCACCCCCTGCTTGTCTCTTGCCTCACCCACGCTTCTGGTCCCACAAGGAACATCAACAACGTGTGAGATGCAAGTCACCACAGACAGCCGATACACCCCAGGCTGACCTGCTGTCCTACCAGAGGGCAGAACAAACACAATCTAGTATAAAGTCAGTATGGAGGAGCCTATGGGGGTGGGCAGCCCAGGGTGTCTGGCCCCCATTTTTTCCATTACATTTAACATCAACGGCTGTTAACTCCATCCATGATCCTCTCCTTGTTTGCTAAGCTCTGTGTGGCAACTATGCTGAGAAGGGTGGTATTTCAAATTACTTTATTTCCACCCACCCATCCATCAATCCATCCATCCATCTCCAAAACCATTCATCCAGGGATCAGGGTGTAGATAGAAGTTACATATCAATAATATATGTATAGATCAATTTAAAATAACATGAACTAATTAAGACACATTGAATATAAGTTTTGGTGATGTAATAAATACTCAAAATAGGTAAAAATTTACGTGGTAAAAAATTTGATTGTACAAGAGCTTTTCAATGATTATGAATAGTTTAAATAAATTGTTTATTTTTAAAGAATAGAGTAATTATTCAACAGAAGCATGTAAATCTATATGAGGACTCCAGAGACAACAACATAGAGATATATTGCAGCAGACAAGCAGCTTTTGTGAAAAAGGAGACACGTTTGGAAGCCTGGCAGTAAAAAGTTACAGACCGATGGTTTTTTTAAAGCTGCGTCAGCACTTCCATCCAGACAAAAGTAAATTACTCTTCGGAGCTCAGCTACCATATTTGTTGATAAAAGTCATTGACATTTAAAGTAAAGGTCACAGTGGAAAGGATGCAGAGAACACAACAAAAACAGCGAGACGATCGATAAAGACAATATTCAACTCTGCTTATGCTCTCAGAAGTTACTTTAAGATTTCATGGATAAACTCTATAAATAATCATCCAACCATCATCAAATATTGATGTCAGCCCTGCACAGTGTCCACCTCAATTCAGAGGCACAGAGCGCTCAAACTCCCACATTCCTGTTACAGAGCTTTCACATACTGCAGTATTGATTTCAGCGAGCATCTCCCCTACAGACAACCCATAATAACAGGTGATTATAGAATAAACGTCTAGGAGATGACAGCATGTTCCAGTATAATTTCTGACAGTACAAACGAGCGACACGCGTCTTGTTGGGCAGGACTGGAGTCACTGCAGTCATAGCCTGGACAAACCTGCCATATTTTCATAGTGTAAAACTGGGTCATGCAGAGGACAGCATTTGGAAAATGGGGGCTTGGCCATGTAGCTCTGCCTGAAGAAGCATTTAGCAAAGCATCTCAGCACAGCGGCCGCTGCTAAGGGACCCAGCACAAATATATTATTCACGGAATAAGTGATAAGTGCCCTCTCCGCATGATAAAACAGGGGTCGTTTGTTTTTTATGTTGTTGCCATTTTTGGTAACCAAAAGAAAATGATACACTAGTCACCTGCAGAGACCCTTTTACAGCCATTTATGGCTGCATTGATTTACCGCCACTGTTTTGACACGCGAGGCTCTGCTCATAAGCACACCGATGAAGCATAACAGCCTCCCCAGGAGTCACTGTACCTTACAGAGTTTTAAACTCTGCTGACACTAATATTAATGCAGTTTTGAACTGTCACCTTAACATGTAACTGCAAAATTGTGTTTTATCTTACAAACCAAACAATATTTCCTGAAACATTACGCACTGCATAATATCCTGTTCTAGTATTTAATAATGTTAGTAATAATAAGTTATCATATCATTATAATTATAATAATGCTTCAGACTATATATGAATGGTGGCTCTTTGCATAGGTATTTGATGGTTTATCTTTTGACTTATTTATGCAGAAGTGCAGTGCCGTTTTGCACGCCCGCCGGACGCCAGCCGCCAGCCGCTGCCCGATCCGCCCCGCCGCGCTCCTACCCCCTGCAGGGCAGCCTTGGCCCTCCGCACCGCCTCCTCGTAGCCTTCCTGCCGCAGCTCGCTCAGACTCTCGTAATACGCCTCCGGATCCTCGCCCTCGGCGAACAGCACCGGCGACAGGATCTTCCAGCCGCATGTGTCCAATACGTGTCCGAGATACAGCTGCAGCCGGCAGCACAGGGCGTCCATCTCAGCCTGGCTGACTTCTGGGAGCCCGAACAGCACGGTCCACATCCCCGACGGCTCCTCCGGGAAAGCGGGCAGGCACGGCTCCAGCTCCGAGTTGATGGAGCACAGCTGGAGGTGTACTGCCCTCAAGTCCTGGAAAGAAAACAGTCCGGCCCAGCTGTAGTCTCCTCTGGCGCCGCTTTCATAGTCGTCCTCCATGTTACCGGGATCGTCTTGGATGGACGGCGGGTTCAAACTCACGTCCCTCCGCGACGGTCCAGTAACTTTGCAGCTACTTTTAATGGGACTTGACATGGCCGCCGATGCACCTGCCGTTGGGGTCTTCGCGCTGCTCTCGTTGTCGGTCGCCGTATATTCCGCCTTTTCCCTAACCGGACTCGTACAACACGCGTGTATGTTTTCCAGAATGGAGCCGACCACGCCAGCCTCGGAGTCCCTCACGATGCTCCTCCTTTGAACGGTCCTGTTGTGACAGGTGATGGCGAGCTTCCCCTCCACCTTATTCCAAGCCACAATAAAAACAAATTTGTGTTTTTCCTTTTCTTCAAAAACATTAGGCCGGACGGCCACCCAGCCCGACTCCAAAGTGTCTTCCATCGTGAACGACATTCTACAGCGATCCGGTTCTAATCTCTTAATTTCCCCCCATCAAATAGTTTCCGATGGCGGTCCGCTGTCAAATTCACCTGCTGAATATATTCAGTACATCATTAAAGGCTCGGGGGGAAGACGAATATGCTGAGGGTGTTTTGGTCCTTGGTCCGCATCGGATGCACTACAGTGTATAGGAGGGATCAGTATCGACATTAACACACTGCATGCGTCCCTTTTACTCTAGATGCGACGCAGCATAACATAAGGTCGCCTGTCGACGCCGCTTCACGGACAATGCAGACGATTCGCACGGCTCTCTTTGTTTGCAATGGGACCTAGACAAAATTCCGTTGTCATATTCCATATTTTTCACTCCCCGCCGCTGTTCCCTATTCCCCCCCCCCAAAACTGCATCTCCATCGCATGACTCGATGAGCAACTTCCAGCTCCCCGGAAATACAGAAAGGCCTCGCAGTCAGCTTAAGATGAGCCCGTAACCGTGACGGCTCGTCATCCCGATGGAGGCCAGCATCCGTTTCCTCCGCGCCGCGCAGCGCTCCGCATCCCTCTCCATAGCAGAGGATTCCAGCTGACTGGCTACAATGACGCTCTGGGCGTCCGGTGGGAGGGGGGGTTGCAGGGGGGTTGCGTGGTACGAGACTAACCGAGTGACGCACTCGGCTCTGCCGCACCGAAGCCGGCCGAGGTCTGCGGCTGCGGCTAGACGCGCGCAGTAGCCGCCGGATTCGGAAACGACCCTGCGCAAAAGGCGCTCAGCCCCCCCCGCACCACCCCATGACGTAGCCGCTGTAAATTCTACGCCGTGCATCCCCCCCCCCCGTTACAGGGTTATAAGAGTGCTGGGGAATTTCAAACGGGAAAGCGTGGCAGGTGCTTGTTAGTTGGATGGGAACCTGCGCTTGCGTCTGGTTCAGCAAAACTCCAGAGCCTGTTTCGTTGGCCGCGGCAGAATCCTGTCCTATTTTTCGTATTATGGCTTTTAAACACCGTCACACTTTGTGCTTTAATTATTAATTATTACGCTACCAAAGGAAGTAAATGAATATAAAAAATACCACGGGGCAAGCAAACGCCTAGTGTATTCTTTGTATTTTTGCCAGTGACATGCACTTTTGCATTTTTCGTGTGTTGGTGTTAAGATACGCTAAATGAAAGATTCAGAGCGAAATACAAATAATCCAAGACTAAACGCTGTATATTATTCTTGAGTAGGAGGGAGAGACTGAGAGAAATGACCAAAATGACTGAACCTCAAATGAGGCGTGTAAGTGGTTACGGTAGTTAGTGTAGCACTAATGGGGCAGATCGAGGACAACTGCAAACTGCACGGAACTTTAATGTGAAGCCTTTGGCCCCAAAGACCTACACCTTTCTGTTCATCTGTCAAAATCAGTAGTACATATAGTATAATTTAGGCTACTAAATTACATTTGTAAAGGATGTTCCTTAAGTAAGTGAAACAGTCTTTAAATCCCTAATACTAATTTTTATGGGATGGAAAAAGTTGGAGAAAATGTAATGATCGCTTTTGTGCTTATAATGCTGTGCCTTATGTCATGATCATTTGTTTATTGCAAACTTGGAAATCTATGAACAGTCCAGGAAACAAACTGCGATTTCATTCCAGTTATGTTTAATATTAATTTAGTGCTTCTTGTAGTAAACAAAAAACAGCAAAGCTAAATCGCTAAGTAGTGCCACACCAAGGATCATGACCTTGGCTTGGCCGAGGGGGTTTGCATGCTTACTGAGCCTGGTAGGGTCTCCCGTTATGCACTAGTCTTTGGGGAGGGGCCAGACAAACTACCATACAACAAAGAACCTCAATGAAAGGTACCAAATACAGCAAGTGTGGATTCCCAGAATAGTTACTGAGACGCTCACCTGGAGCCTGCCCTGTTCAGTGAGCACATGGAGGGCAGGCCACCCACGTAACAGAGCTGGCCTCAGCCTGGAATACTTATGTGGATCTTCTGCATTCACCATCCACAAGATTAAAGCTAGGGATCTGCTACAGTGCCCTTTGGGTGGCTGGCATGAGTGGGAAGGATGCAGATGGATTAGACTTTGACAATGGGCACTGCCTTTGGGAACATGGTACCTTCCGTCTCTGGTGAAGAAGGTAGAAAGGTATTGGATAGATGTAGTTAGCTTCTTTACCGATGTGCACAGTGTAGGCTCTGGAACAAGACCTCTAAAGTGCAGGTGAAGTCCCTCCTAATTGGGAAGGTCTCAGGCTGAGGACTGTGCACCTGGAGTTAGGGGTGGGCAGTATGGTTAAAAACCTTTCAAGAAACACAGCTTATAGCATTATAATAATACATTTTATTAAAGTATTTAATATACTGTACATATAAAAGAAACTGACTCATTATAGTAATTTTTTAATTATTTTTTAATACTACAGTTTCAAATGTTTTGAGTCCAAATGAACACTTTATCACTTCAGTTAGTAACTGTGCTCTTCTTGCAAAAATTACAAACAAATAATACATAAAATTGGTTGTCTCCCCTGGTTATTTGGTTTTGTTGCCACTCTTATCTTTGCAAAGTTTACAGTACACTGGTCTACGATAGATTTTACAAATCCAAATTATTTCCACGCATCTGATTTAGAACCTATTTTTCAATCCAGTTCGATCATCAGCCCACTGTTTAGCTGACCCATCTGTGGTCTATGTGTTGTTTACCAAAAGTGCAATATTTTTTATCAATCAGATGATATATAAAGTTTAACCAAATTAGTTACTCTTTAGAAAAGATCAATTAGTTTTTTTCCCCAAGATCTAATCACTAAGTTGAGATCAACCGAGACAGATAACTGACAAAGAATTAAGATCATCGGTCTGTTTTTGTTGGAGTACCGTTGCAGCCTCCAAACATGCAGGTGCACTTGCCGGTTTGTTGTCTTGTTATAATAATAGCGATAAGTAGTAACTGGGCATTCATTGCAAACTCAGCCTAGCTGCACTTATGCCTAGTCGACAGTACGTATTGTCACGTCGGGACGGGGAAGCAGGTGAAGCGAGCCGTGAATATAAGCAAACGGGGTTTTATTCAGGGCAAACAGACGCAAAACATGCAACGTTAATGACAGACCTGGGGAAACACACAAGAACGCGGACTGAAATACATAAGACAAGCCGAAAAAACAGGAAACAGGTGATCACAATCGGGATAGTACATGTGGGTAATGAGGGGGCGTGGCACACACGAGGACTGGACGCACGTATGTTTGCAATGTTCTATTTGCCAATCACTGTTATGTCGCTTTGAACAATAGTGCTTGCTAAATTAAGTTGTATTGTAGTGTTGTATTGCGATTCATGCGATACCTCCAAAACATTTATGGATATAGCTGCAACCAGTCATGAAAAATTATCATCATATTGCCCACCACTAGGTGGAGTTTCCCTTGGTGGACTCGAGGGTTGCCTCTTTGCCCCAAATAGTAGTTTAGAATACCCAGCTTTCTTAGAGGAAGTGCATGAGGAGCTTAAAGAGTACCACCTAGGGGCTCTGTGGTCCTACTGGGGGACGTAATTGCTCAATGGAGAGGTTGTGATGGGGAAGAATGGCTTTCTGGGTCTAAACCTTAGTGGTGAATTGTTCTGGAACATCTCAGCAAGCCATAGATTCAAACACAAGGATGTTCATTAGTGTACATGTTACCAGAGCACCTCAGGCTAAAGATCAGAGGTTGATTTTATAGTCATGTCATCTGACTTGAAGTATGTTTTGGACATTCAGGTGAAGCGAGAAGCAGAGACATTAGCCGACGCCGTACTCAGTAGTGAGTGGGATTTGGCATTTGGGGAGAAGGCCAGATGGCCCAGGTTGACCGAGCCGGGCAGTCAGGGTTTGCTGGAACATCTGGCTGGAACTTGCAAGAATTTAGCGCTCACCCTTGGAAAAACGTCTCTCTCGTGCTGAGATCTGGGACATTGAGTCTGAATGAACCATGATCACATCTCAATCATTGCAGTGGCTGCAAAAATCCTTATCCAGATGGCAGTCAGTGCCTAGGACCTGCTGCCGGACACCTGTGGTGAGGGAAGCTGTCAAGCTGGAGAGGAAGGCCTTCAGGGGGTCTCTTGAGACAAGCCAGAGAGGCTGCATGAAAGCTCATGCATGAGGGGAGTTTGGAAAGGCAATGGAGGGAGATTATCAGGTGGTCCCAAAGATGTTTTGGCAAACCATTTGATGCCTCAAGAGGGGTAGGGGAGACTTTGCTCAGGTTATGTTCAGCCAGGTTATGTTCAGCCAGTGCTGAACAATTCTGGAAATTTTGTCAAGCGGTGAAAGGAACAGTTTGAGGAACTCAAACTTCAGGAGGCAGCGCTAGAAATGTATGATGGAGGTTATGACTGTAGCTGCGGTTACTATGCTAGTCAGAGACCTCCGTGGTGGAAAGGCTGCAGGGGTAGATAACATCTGCCTAGAAATGCTGAAAGCAATGGATGTTGCTGGAGTAACACGGTTGATGTTCCTCTTCGGTGTTGCATGAAAGGTGGGCAAAGTGCCTGGTAAACTGGGCTGGTGGTTTCTATTTTAAAGAAGGAGGAGCTTAGCGCACGTGGTCCAGCTATGGTGGGATCACGCTTCTCAGTTTCCCTCAGCATATTCCAGTCTGGTCTGTATTAGACTGGACCAACTATTGTCTGTTAGACAGATGAGGGAGGATTCGAGGAGGGTGTGCTGATACAGTCCACAAGTGCTTTGCTTACTTGGAGAAGGCATATGGCTGCATGCCCTGGCATATACCATGGGTGCTGTCGCAGGGATATGGGATACTGGGAACTCTATAATCTATTATTGGCTCCCTGTATGAATGCAGTATGTCCTTATCACAGTACTGCAGTAGTTCAGTGGGTGTTGGCTTCCAACAAAGGTCTGTATTTTCGCCACTCTTTTTCCTGATTTTCACAGACAAGATATCAAGGCACAGCCGTGGCTGGAATGGAGTCTAGTATAAAAAATGAGAAGAAAGGTTTATCCAACCAGGATCTCTAGCACACATTTGAACAATGTGATGCTGACCATGAGGTTGCAGGGATGAGAATCATGGCTTTCGATCTGAGGAGATAGTTCTCTCTGAAAAACAGGATGACAGGATTGCTTGTTTCAAGCTCTTGGTTGAGGCTCTTGTGCATGAATGATGGAAAGAGGGAATGTGAGATTGACAGTTCTGCAGGCTATGAAACCAGTGGCATAAGTCAGTTCATTGAAATCATCCACGCACCTTTAAGCCATTTCTCCAGAACAGGGATATGGGGGCACGAGAGCCTATTACAAGCAGCATAAGACACAAGACAGTGGAACACCTAAGGCTAGATACCAGTCCATAACAGAGCACACTTATGTTCATGCACAATGGGCTATTTTGAGAACCAGTTCTCTTAACTGCATGTCTTTGGACTCTGTGAGGAAACCCAGACAATACAGAGAGAATGTACATGGTCTACAAACACAGACTGAGGAGAGTTTCCAACCCCCAGCTCTGGAGGGTTGAGACAACAGCACTACCTACTGAGCCATATGACACCTTTTTTCCTGCAATACATCCACTGGAAATCCTGGGAGAGAGACAATGTCATCCAGCTTCCATAACCACTTATCCAGTACAGGGTCTCTATGAACTTGGAGCCTATTCTAGGAAGCTAGTCAGTCATAGCGCACTGCACATTTTGTGTAATTTAGACACATGTAAAACCCAGCAGCACGTTTTCGGACAAA